TTTTTTTTTTATGATTGACCAGCCAAGAACAAAATCTCCAAGCCAACACATTCAAACAAAAAGCATTTTTTTAAAACGGTTCTTTTTGTTTGCTTGTTGTTTTTTTTTGATAAAATTCAAATTTTAGCGTGTTTCCCTTTCTGGAGAGGGTGTCGTAGAATCGATTACAGTTTCGTGTCTGGTGAAATGTTTCTCCTTTCTACAAGACAATTTCAGTTTCTTTACTTCTTCCTTAATATCTCTTCTCAGGAAGGTGTACACAAATGGATTAATCGCGGAGTTCGCTACCAACATGAGCCGACGAATCATCTGAATTATTCCAGTGTCATCGCAGAGTTTCAAAACATTTTTGCACATCGTGTAATAAGCTTCCAAGGCGTAACAGAATACAAAGAGAAATGTGACCATCAAAATCATCTTCAAAGCTCTTGATCCTTCTCGCTGATTCTCCTTTTTAGCTTTTCCTTTCGATCTGTTCTTGTGTTTTGTTTGTTCCCTTTTAGCAACGATGCTTATTCGCAGGGCAGCGAAGAGAATGAGTAAACACGGAAGAACCTCAAATATTATGACTATCACAGGAAGAAAGTACTTGAATGCTTCCCTCTTATGCAGATAATAAAGGGGAGTGAAGACAACACCACGCAAAATGATAGGAAAAAGCCATGAAATCGCGATCGAAATGGCCACAATCCTGTCCGATACCTTGACTTTGTGGTACATGGGTTTGGTGATGGCGAGGTAACGGTCAGCTGTCATGGCGCACAAATTGCATACTGAGGAGTAAATGAAGATCCAGCGAAATGCTCTCATGATACCTGTTTGGCAGAAGGACCAACGATCACAAAAAAACAATGGAGGATAGAAACTTAAGGCCACTAAAGCATCCGCCACAGCAAGGGAAATAATGTACCAGTTGAGTTTACGCAAGCGAAGGTTCTTTCTGAATAGGATCAGAAATATTACGAAAGAGTTTCCAGACAACGCTGTTATGGTTAAGGTCCATGCGATAATCTCAAACAGCGCAGACATGATGCTTACGTGAGGTTTATCGCTCTCCTGATGAAGAGAAGTGCGGAATTTGCTTCAAAGGAAGTTCGAAAGTACAAAACGGCCAATATCACCGATTTCCTGTCATGAGATACAAATATTTCTTTTGCAGTGCATGGTTATGCAAATTCAGATCGGATTTTAAAAATACATTGTTGGTATATTATATTGTTGTCTGTTGCCGGAAGTTTAATTTGATTCTTTTTAACAGAAGCAGATTTTGATCAGGGGAACAAAAAATGCGATCAAATGGGAAAGAGTCCAAGTTCGTAACAACTCAATCTCGGAAACAAAAAGTCAAATCATAGTTGGTAAGGGAACCAGGCATATAATTTATCCGACGAAAGTTTATACGGAGCCCAGCCGTGCAGCAGA